CGGACGCGGGACCCGCAGCATGCGATCCGCCAGCGCCAGGCAGCAGATCGCCAGCAGGGAGGGGGAGTAGCTGGTGAAGGCATCGTCGGCCAGACTCAGCGCGGCCACCCCGCGCGCCAGGGCTTGCGCTTCCAGAGCTTCGGAGGCCTCAGCCTGCCCCGCCTCCACACGAGCACGTGTGAAATGCTGCAGGAAGAAGCTAATGGTGGGCGCACCCAGGCTGAAGTGCAGCTTGTGCAGCACGATGCACTCAAGGTTGCAGAGCTGCTGCCGGGAGAAGGCGCCGCAGCACAGGGCCAGGAGCTGCTTCAGGTGCACCTCCACCTGTTTGCAAGCGATGAGCAAGGAGGTGACCCCGAGCAGCTGGAAACAGTCTGCAGCCACCGGCATGGTGGTGAGGAAGCGGTCCAGAGTGTTCACCGTCAGGCACAGCGACTCGAAGGAGAGGCCTAGGGCTGGATATTTTTTTTTTTTTGAAGGCAGAAAAGTGATTTATTTGTAAGGGAGACTACTGGAGCAGGGAGAAGAGGGCTGAGGAGCCTTGCATAGATGGGTATTGGGCCAGGGTCTGATGAAAGTACGTGCTTAAAACCTTGGGTGAAATCAGTTGTAGTGTTAGACTGGGGTGCTGAGTGGGTTTCTGTACATGGCTTGCCATGGGTCCAGCCTCTACCTCCTCCAAGGCATTTGCCAGCCCTTCTGACAGTGGGGAGCCCAGAAGAGGAGGTCTGGGAGTAGGGAGGTTCTAAGATGCCAGCATCCGTGCTCTCGCTTCATCCTTAAACTCACCACTCCAACACACATACAGACATGTGCACACACAGTACTTGTCAGGTCAGCTTGTCTTTCGAGGTTTTTTTGTGTGTTGTTTTTGTTTGTTTTGTTTTGAAGTCGAAGAAGAGGTTTCAGTTTGCCCCAAACCAGTAGCTCGCCTACTTCTCTCTAATTCCTAGACACTGCCCCCCATTTCTCCAGGTTGAGACACATCCTGGGGTCCCTGAGCCCACATATGGTGACTGACCGTGGCCACCTGGAACAAGGTTGAAAGGTAAGAAATGAGAGAAGGCTGAGGCAGCCAGAAATAGGAAGAGCAGAAATGAGGTGTGGGCCCAAACCTCTGCTCAACTGGGTGGTAGGCAGAGTCCCTGGGCAGGGGGCCTAGAAGTTCTCATAATGGTGGGAGAAGTGAGTCCGGTCCTGCCTGTTTATGAGCTGACAGGCCTTTTCCACATTCTTGGTCATGCCAGGGGGGCCACAGCTAAACACTCCAATCTTCCGGACCTGTTGCAGGAGGAATAAGTGAAGGCTAGCTCATTGCTCAGAGGCAGAGCTAGCTCAGTGTTCAGAGGCAGGGATAACTCAGAGTTCACAGGAAGGGGTAGCTCCCTAGTTCAAGACCAACCTGGGCAACATAGCGAGATCCCTGTCTCTACATTTTTTTTTTAATTAGCTGGGCATAGTGCACTAGTGGTAGTCCCAGCTACTTGGGAGGCTGAGGCGGGAGGATTGTTTGCACCCAGGAGTTGGTGGTTATAGTAAACTGGGATTGGACTACCGCACTCCAGCCTGGGTGACAGAGCAACACCCTTTCTTAAAAAAAAAAAAAGCCAGCAGTGCTCCTGATGTTTTGCTTTCTACCATGCATGGTGAGAGCTGGCTTAGTATATATAAGTCTAGTGGAATTTTGCTAAGTGCTAGATCAACATTTCTAATAGATCTTGGGTTAATCAGCGTTCAAGTTGAGGAAAAGCTCAGCATCTCATGGAGGGCTAGCCCAGTATTTGTGAGTAGTGACTAGTCCAATGCTCGTGGTAAAGGTTAGTTACCTCAGTGTCTGAGGGCTGACTCAGTATTAATGGTGAGGGTAGCCCTGAGTTTATGGCGAGGACTAGCTCAATGACTGAGCCCTTCTTTCTGGACAATACATCACGGCTTCAGAGATGGCAAGTCCCTATTGCCTGCCTCCTCCTTAGCACCTAAGGGCGACCCTCCCACCTATCCTTTCCCTTCCATTACCCCACCAATCTCCCAGGGGATCGGTCCTCATCAGCGGTCGATTTCTTCCTTGATGGGGCAGGGTTCGGAGCTTTGTTCAGACCCCAAATGATAAAGAGGAAGAGAACCTGGATATGGGTGAGACTGACCTGGGGGTGGACCTCCTGCAGGGAGTTGAAGAAGGGCTCAAAGGGGGGGGCGGCCAAAGTGGGTGATGGAGCGCAGGCCCGTGAATAGACTCCGGTTCAGAACCTTTTGGAAGTGCCGCTCGCAGATGTACTGTGGTAGAGAAGGGTGGAACAAAGTTCAGCCAGGCACAGCTAGGGTCAACTTCTAGCTCAGACAGTGTCCCACATACCCTCCTAGCGGATCCTGACATACCAGCATGGTAGTCCTGAGATCAAACTTCTCAGCCAGCTGGGTGATGTAGATGTGCACAGACACCAGGTCCTGGTGGTCGTTCTCCTCCACCTCTCGGATGATGTCAGCCAGCCACTCAAACTGACGCTGGGTCCTTGTCACCCAGATGAAGTAGATCTGGGACACATGGCTGGAGCTCAGGACTCAGCTCAGCTTCCCTAGATCCTAGGGGTATCCATACCCATAGAACTCTTCTGACCTCAGCCAGCTTGTGCCCCTCCCTAGACAGGCTGGTGAGATGGGAGTGTATGGGCCACAGGGCCAGACTCTGAGGCCAGAGATGGAGTCGCCCCAGAGCACGGAGAGGTGGAAGTGAGAGATAGCCCAGGGTCATGGGAAAGGTCCCTTGGTGATTGCCAGGTGAAGGTCTGTGGGATGGGAAGCAGCTCTTATGCTCAGCCTGTCCTACAGTTCCCTCCAGTGGTCCCTGCTCAGGCTGCCAGGCACCTAGTGCTTGAAGGGCATTTCACAGAAAAGCCTCAGGGAGACCCAGCAGCTGCATGGGCAAATGGGGATAGGATCAAAGAGATCAGTGGTTGGAAGTTGCCTGGTGGGGAGCTCCTGAGCAGAGAAAATGGGCTGTATAGTTAAGCAGCAGAAGGCTGCTGGGCGTGGTGACTCACACCTGTAATCCCAGCACTTTGGGAGGCGGAGGGGGGTGGATCATGAGGTCAGGAGCTCAAGACCAGCCTGGCCAAGATGGTGAAACCCCATCTCTACTAAAACTAGAAAAATTAGCCAGGTGTGGTGGCAGGTGCCTGTAATCCTAGTTACTCAGGAGGCTGAGGCAGGAGAATGGCCTGAACCTGGGCAGCAGAGGTTGCAGTGAGCTGAGATCATATCACTGCACTCCAGCCCCGGCAACAGAGCGACACTGTCTCACAAAAAAAAAACAAACAAAAAAAAAAA